ATATATCGTAGATATAATATTATTAATCGATGTTAACATTATTAACTAATAATGGTATCTACGATATTAATTTAATCTTTAAAACAAACTAAGATGGAAAATAGTTGTATTATACAAAATTTCTATCACTTTAGATTATACAAAGAATGTAATTAATTTACAATTAGAATCTTCAATTAATCTTCGACATGCGCAGCAACGAATTTTATGTCAGGTGTATACCTAACGGTTTAATTATGAATTTCAATCGAGCGAGAGAAGGTAATTACGATGAGACAAAAAGTAGCCTGTATTCAAGCTTAACACCTGGATAATTATAATACACCAGTCCAATCGATATGGTAATTATAACGCGAACAAATAGGAAGATATCAGTTAAACAGACTGTATTAGATTAATATACAAAAATTATCACATTATTATCAATAGCCACAAATTTTGAGATTTTGAAAATAAGTACAATATATTATACACATAATGGATTCATATAGCTTCAAACTGTTAAATGTATGTATAATTATTCAATTTATATAAAATTTTACATAACGTACGTTTTTTCTCTCTTTAAATGTCTGTTTATAATTAAAATATTATTTTCTTTTCCGTTTCCTACAATTATATATTTTTTAACAATTTTTGTAAACGATGACATTCTAAAAGAATGTTTGCATGAAACATAATAGAATTTGAACACTTGGCATTTCACCTAATTCAATTGTAAAAGCAAATTTTGTTTGCAAATTCAACTCTTATGTCGAAGAAGAAACCTGTATGTATGCGCTTCAAATTAGTTCTGTTACCTTTCATTATCTCACCGAAAAATTTTGTGTAATGTAAAATTAGTGAAACTCATTTCACTAATACTATGCTATAATATACAATTTTAGAAAATTGTTTGAAAGAAACGATTTTCTTCAAATTTCAACTTCGACCATAATTATATCGCTTATTATTAGCATGATAATTGCAACATATTAAATTTTCAATAAACAAAAATTTGATACTAAATTTTTATGAAATTCGAGAGAACCTATTTTACAGTAAAATATTTTCCAGAAATTTTTTCATAGAATTTAAGATTTACGGAATCATCTCTTCTTTTGAGTGATTTGGCTGTGTCATATTGCAAAATTAAGCTTGAAATTGAAAATCAGGAAAATAATTGTAACTCTAATTGTAATAGATTATAACGCACAACTAATAACATAAAATATGAAAAATTGTAAAATTATTAATCAATCAATGATTTGATTAAATTCAAAGCGAAGGAAAATGTTCGTTTCTATCTGCGACATTTCTTCGCATTGCATGAGCTATCCATGCAACTGGCAGAATGTTGCAATCACGCACAAGGGACAAGAGGAACATATCGGGCGAGCCGGAACTGTTGCTAATCGCCGCCGAAATCTCGAATTAATGGCACGAAAGCTGCGCGCGGAATTTGGGATTGGTGGTGCACAACGCCTAACCCAGCAAAAACGTTCACCGTCTCGTTCACCGTTCGTATACACATCGAAACGATAAATGTTACTGCGCTCTGTTGCATACGTATGCCTCGATACGTTTTATGCAAATATCGCAGCTGCGCTGCTATATAAAGTTATCGGTAAATTCACGCATGTCATTACGCGAATCACAACGGTATCGAAAGTTCACGACAGTCATCATTAAATTTTATTGGATGTGCATCTTAAAAATGAAAATTTAATAGGCACGTGTTAATACTTGTTAAAATATAAATATTGGCTTTTGCTTGAGGAAACTCTCGTTAACTATTGCTAGATATTTATATGAAATCACCAGCATTAATAAAAAAAACTCAAGTTATATTTTATAAATTAATGAAAATTCTATTAAATAACAACAATAAGGATTGATTTACATTCAATCTTGTTGTTATTATTTAATAGAAAAACTTTAAGATGTAAAATAATATATTAGATAATAATTTTATTGCACACAAAATAATTACTTAATTGCACGTAAAAATTTGATATTTTCCAAAGTTGATGCGCCGAATTATATATTAAAAAAAGAAAAAATAAAATATACACGCAGAAAGAAAAGCATCAGTAATATTGCAAAATAGCACATAAAATAAGTAAAGATATTCATATAATAAATTTAAAATTTATGTGAATCATAAAATAAAACTGTGAGACTCTATTAATCGAGCTGCAACGAGATAAATTTTTTATTATAATGGAAAAAGATAATGTAGAATTTTGTAGAAAAAAAGAAAATAAAAATAATAAAATGTGAAAATAAAAAAGAGAATAAAATGCTAAATAATCTACTAATGTGAATATAATGATGCAAAAAAGAAGTATAAGTTCAGATAGTACAGAGAGTTCAAAAAGAATTCAGTAGTATGTTATCAATTCTGAGTTCAGTTTTAAATGCAAAAAGAATTCTTTCCGAAGCTTTACAAAAAAAGAATTGCATTTGCATCTGAAAATGAACTCAGAATTGATGACATACAACTACATTCTTTTTGAACTCTCTATGCTATCTGTAAGACGTGGTTTCGATACTAACATTTTTTTATTTACTTACTTTTAAAAATTATAATTCTTACAATTAATGAAATATTCCGTACAACTGAAAGATAATCTTTTACGAGTTATTAGGCCTAAAAATTTCTTGTTTTTCATTTTCCGAGAAATTCGATAGAGAAACCGGAGCGCCATCCTCGTCTATTGATCAGTCACTAATTCCGCTCAACATGGCGGCGGGGGTGGTATTCGCGCTTAGCCTGATTCTCGTTGTTGGACATCTCCAGGAAGGACCAGGATCCCTCGCAAAGACCTTCACTTTCCCAGAATATCCGTATAAGGAGACCACTAAGAATGTAAGTTATCCATATAGTTCATCAAAGTTCTCCCTGTGAACGATACATGGTGAACGCTACAAGGAGGTTATGAGGAGCAACCCTCATTTAGGACAATTTATATTATAGCATTGACGATAAGCCGGCTACATCAATTTTCGAATTAAACAGTTAAGAACAGTTCTCGAATTCATCTTTATACATAGATTATTAATTAGCTATAAAAATATCTTCGATCTAGCCAGTATGTATATATATCTATGTAAAAAATAAATTATATTGGGAGAATTCGAAATAATATGAAGAACTATTATATCTTTATCTGTAAAGAAAAAATTTAATTTAAATTTTAAGGTATGATGAGAGAAACATTCGGTAACATTTAACCAAGAAAATAAAATTGGAACAAGATAGCAATTCAGTGGAGGAACCAAACAATCGATCTGACATTAACTCGAGAGAGATTTGGCTAAAGATCAAAATATACTTGAAAGTAGCTATATACGAATATGCATTTAGATAACACAATTTAGATAATACAATTTCGTGATATAACACAGAAATCGAAAAATCCTCTTTCGAACGGAGAATAAATTACAAAAATTACATTTGGATTTTTGTAAAAACATCAGAAAAAATACAAGAACGATTTTGTGAAAAATCTAAAAATTTACAAGAAATAATTTTGCTGAACTATCAAAATAATTATAGGAAATTCAAATATGAACAATACTGCAAAAAATTTTGACAACCAGCTTGAATACATATAATTATTTTAATTTTACATTATTATTTTGATAGTCTAACAAAATTATTTTCTGTAAATTTTTAATTTTTAAAACATTTTTTGTAATGTTGTAAAAACATGTATTTAAAAAATTCTTATCTCTCTCTCTCTCTCTCTTTCTTCTTCTCTTCTCTTTTCTTTTCATTTTACAGACAATCTATTGTTAGCATCTTAAATGCATACCAGAAATGTATCTCTCACAATCATATCTTCTAGGAAGAAAAATAAAAGAACGTTACATATGTATTCTATATTAAGCTTTGTCGGCATATATTCTCTTTCAAAAATATTTCGCTGTAATACTTTTATTTGCGCGGAGAGAGATAGACGCGGAATTATTCGCGGAGGAAATGAAAGACGTATATATTTGCCATGCTGATAGTCGCATTGGCTCTAATTGAGGTTAATCTTTCGACAGACACAAATCAATTGTTGCATTCCGCTTTATCCCGCCACGGCGCAGAATGCAAAACATTATTTTATTAACATCACATAACAGAAAATTTTTCTCGCATACAAAAATAAACATTAATATTCACGTTCTCGAATTTAACCGCAAAATCCATTTGCACGTTTTTATCAAAATAATCAAAGCATACAATTAATTTCAGCGAAATATGCAAGAGAGACAATTTGAAAGAGATTGGTTTTCAGTTTATTGTTATTAAAATCATTTAAATTTTTTTTAACGATGAAGAGGTAAAATGTAATGGTTAAATATGGTGTTGTTTTCAACAATCGATTCTGCTGTAGGAGCTTCTCTTCAGACAATTTGAGCAGGCTTGCGAGGAGAGCGGTGCTTGCAAGATGCTATCGCAACATAGAAGCGACAGCGTCGCCAAAACACGATGCATCCGGGAATGCGTATCGCCATCCTGTTACAAGGAGATCTATTTATTTGATCAGGTACTAGTATATGTGGAATACCAATTCCGTTAATTGCGTTTGGTACCATGTCGCTTTACGTGCTACACATCTAGTACGTATCCGGTATACAATTTCACTCATGTGGACTGCACGGTAATGAACGATAAATATATTTCAGTTAGAGGAGGGCGAGATTGACGTGAGATTAAATTCCTTCAAAGGTTGCTTCATGCAGCGAAACGGTCGACCACGGAAATAAGGAAGAATGCCCACAGAAAGAAACGCAGGAAGAACAGATTTCTAATCGCGAGAATGAACGATTAACTGATGACCCTTTGGGAGATACTGCAATTGTGCAACAGGGAACACGCGCTGCGATAATAGTTCAACAGAAACGCTTCTTGCTTAGACTTCGCTAGTCTGCAAGGATTAAATTGATGATGTAATACAACTACTGCATGATATGCATGATGGAAAAGCACAAAAATAAAACGGAAACAGAAACGCATATCATGCACAAAGATAAGTTAAATAATGCATATCGTGCAGTCTTATGAAAATGAAGCGAATTCTCCAAGGAATTAAATCCGAGAACAATCTTTTTCTACTTTTTGTACACATATTAACTACAACATTATTGCAATGCTGATGATAATGCTGCACAAAGTAAACGAATAAAACTGTTGGCTGCACCAGTGATTTCAATCACCTTATCGCTTTTATATACTGCTATATTTAAAAAGAAACATTTCTCGCAAATAATATAAGTAATTCAGTATACGATAGCATTCATGTTACTCGAATAACGTAATTTCATTGTACAGCGAATGAAGGGTGGCACTTAAAACTATTGTACACACATTTTATCTCTGAAGGAAAAACAACTTGAAACATGACCAAATTTTTATATAAATTATTTAATAGAATAGTATCTTGAAGATAAAACATGTTTTACAACTTCTTCCTTAATATAATAAACTATACTTATACTGTGATATAATGTAACATAACTTACAAAATTGTTATTGTTCACTCAAATTGTTATAGTTAAAATAAAAATATAGAAATATGAGACAATGTATGTCTCAATTAATTTTGCAAAACAATTTAATTTGCATTAATTTGTTCCACAATTTCCACAATAATATTTACCGCTCGTTACAAAGCCGATAAACTTCTGTTATTAACGATTACATTTTCTTTAAAATAATCTACTTGAATAGAAAGTGTTTTATGTAGCGATTTTATAAAACATAATTAAAACTTGTTTATGAATTTAATCTTAAACGATGATCAATCAATTCACTTTTGTTGCTATAATAGTTTTCTTATATATATGTATCATACATTTTATTGTTAAAAAAGAATAAAATACGATTAAATTTAAGTACACTCTTTTATTTAAAGAATTATTATTTTTAACTACATTAAATGTATACTAGAGAAAGATATTTTTATATTATTAAATAAAATTAAGAAGAATCACAAAGAAATTGGATAGTTATTTACGAATAAAAACAATTCGCGTTTATTACAATTGTTATTTCGAAATGAATAACAAACTTAAGAATCGACGATTAGCTGAGTTTCGGGTAAAATTACCTTCTCTCCGGGTTTGAAGGCAGGCATTCCAAGATAAGGACAACTGGCACATCTGAATGCATCTCCAAGGTAACACTATATATAAACAAATTCATAAAAAATTTTTAATCAAAATTTATATAATTAAAATTTATATAATCGTTCCATTAAATATGACATATCCATGATTTTCAAAAAAAACAGTAATATAAATATAAAACGTACATTTCCACAAGAAGATTTAACAGTGTATTCCGATGCAGCTTTACCACTTAATTCTTCCGCAAGTCCGCATGAACAGTCTTTACATGCTTTCTTTTTACCTGTTGTCGCACAAACTGAAAGCATTACATGTGTCTAGTTTATACAAGTTTGTGAATCCTCTTTATTGTATTTTATTTTTAACATTACAGTAATCTCACCTCTTAAGGATGCTGCGTCTGGCTTTACAAGATCTGACTCATCTAAAAGTTCATCTTCATCTATTAAATCTTCGTCTACGGGATCATCCAATTTCCATACATTAGTTTGCTTTTTTGCAAATGAAATAGGAATACTGGAACCCACCTAAATTATCACAAAAAGCTATATACAATCTCTATTATCTTTATTATGTATAAATAAGAAAAAAAATTACTTTACCTCAAACGATGGTTTATTCGCAGATACTTTGCAAACGTTTTCTATATCGTTATATACTTTTAACAAAAAATGTAAGCTCTCTGGATCTGTTTCTAATTTCTTCTGTTTTGTATCTTTTACTATGAAGCCAGATAATTTTAATCTAGATATTCTTTCAGTATACGTAAGTTCTGTATCCGACTTTCTATCTGCTGATAATCGTTCATAAATGACAAGCAAACCATCAGGTTTCAAAATTCTCAATGCTTCTGTTAAGAAATTCTCATCCGTGCATGGTTGTTTAAAAATGGCAATAACTACATCAAAGGTAGATGCATCGTGACTTTCTAAAATCATACAAAATAAATTAGTGCTCTTTTCATTATAACCTACAACATTATTCTCCAAATTTTCTAATTTATCCTTATTGTTAAAGGTAAATATTAAAGGATAAAATGAATGCTTTTCATTTGGTGGATATAAGTAGACACAAGCATCATTTATCTTTTTCGACATTCAGTGAATAACAATTTAAGGACATCCCTCGAAGAACTGTGTTGTATGGAAATATATAAAGACTTTTACAAATAATATATCCTTCAATGCAAAAACCTCAGCAAATCAAACAAAAGGTGTACTCACCCTTCTTTATATCTGACAAGCTCGTAGTTTGCAATTTACCGGAATCTCCGATATGTTTCTTGATCGTAGCAATAAAATATGCCGTGTCATTCGAAGGCACATCGTTTCCTGACACGACAAAAACCTTGTTTCCCTCTTTGATGAAAGATGTCATGTCGCAATAGCGATTATTGTTAATAAATAATAATCTTCAAAAAACTTTTTGCGAAAAATTCTGTATCTTGTACCGAATATAATGTAAATAAAATTAAGAATTTGAAACGAGGCTTCCGTATCCTTAAGAATGTAGCCTTTTAAGTCTGCGTCTGTTTTTGAAGAGGTTATCTTCTTCTTATTATTATTATTATTATTATGCCTCCTTGGTTTTCCGAGGAATGAAAAGGGTCACAATATGCGTTGAATTTGAATCCTAGATCCTGTAATAACCTCCGCAGGAGGTTGTAGATCTCATAACAGTCACAACACAAGAGGTTATCTTCGTTTCCTTTCAACGATCGTCTGTTTCAACAAATCGACACGCGCACGCGTGTATCGCCCAAGGCTGCTTCAGCAAAAAAAACTTCGCCTGCAATATGTCGTAAGATTTCTTAATATGGTTGATTCATATATTTAGATCCAATGAGAAACTAAAGGCAAGACTAATTACGCTAAAGAATTTTGCAACAGTTGCAAGACTTTTTCTTAAACTTAAATAACCATTTAAACGCAATTATAGTTCGTTACTCTTTGCACCTTTTATGCTTAAGTTTTCTATTTTTTTCTTCATATTTTTATATATTATTTTGTGAATGCAAGAAGTCACTAAGAAATGCAAATATAAAGGAGTTATATTAGCCGAACAACTTTTTGATGAAAGACAAAATTAAACTAAACAATTTCTTCTTAAACTATAAATGCTTATGTATTTTAAAATACAAAAGTCAAGATAGCTGAGTATTCTTCAATTTGTGCCATTTAGTGCATTAAATCATTTTATATAAATATTATTATGTACTTCGAATCATTATTTTTTTTATGTTATCATTTCGTCTTTTTCTTCGTGTTTTTCTCTGTACAATTTATTCATATAAAATATATGTACATATAAATAAGTAATTGGTTAAATCATATTTCATATTATACAGTATAACCGAATAAAATATGTTTATATTACAGTATCACCAAACTTATATAAATACAGGTTGTGCTAAAATGCCCGTCTTGAATATTTCCGTCACTTGAATAGTTTCTTATTTTGGAAAAGATAAGAAAAGATAAGAAAAGGATAGGAAAATCATTTTCTGAAACTGTTTCAGACATAAGTTCTAAAAAATTGAAAATATGACGAGCGAGAAAAAAATTTCATACAATATTATAAAAAAAAATTGCCATGTTTCTCTTCTGAAATTATAAAAATTTATATTCAAAACATCTTTTTCTAAAATTAATATTTAAAATAAATATTTAAAAAAATAATTAAAATATTGAAGATGAACAATTAAAAATTAAATAACTTTACGTCAATTTGTTTGGGATGTTTACATAGAATCAATCAGCATAATTGCGACAGAATAAACAATATTTTCTATTAACAAGATTTATATATTTATAAAAAAAACATTAAAAAATAAGATATTCGCTTAGAAAGTAGGGAGATCTCAGATTCGATTCCTGATAATATTTGCATAATAAGTTCTTTATAGAATTTGAAATATGTAGTAGCATTAATCGACGATCAAACATTAATTTTTTAATAAAGATTATTATTTCATTAAATGATTACGTTATACGGCTGACAATACGCGACGCACAATCTGACTGAAATAAATGTATTTAGGAATTTATATAATTATTCTAATATCTAGCCTTGACCGTATTTGGCGTATTTGGATCTTTAGATACTTATGTAATATATCAATCGTATTGTTATTCTCTTATCGATTAAAAAATAACCATTAATTTAATCACACTTAAACATTGGAGGTATTTTACTCAGTCGCAATCATTTTAATTGTTTCTATATTCGTATATTCTATATCGCGCCGTATACTTCTCATTATACATATGTATCTAATATCTTCAACAACTCACAGGCATTTATAACATCTCGTTGCAGAAATGCAAATTGTATACACATAAAATGTACAAAATATCTTCTCTGGCAGTCGTAGTCATGTTGTACTGTGGAATTTGTTACAAAATATAGGACTCAAATTCGCGAATAATTCAAATTCTCATATTATCTATGAAATAAGCGATGCGTGATTTAAAAATCGCAATACAAAATTTAATATCAAAAAATTATTATACCTGGCAGAATTAAACCGTATGAAGTTGTAAGAGAGCCGAATTTTGTTAGAAAAATGTATAGACAAATACAAAATGATACCGATACTACCGCCGCGATTAATACTAATATAGCTTATCCTAAAATTAACATTATCCATCACATGTTACATATTCATTTTGTAGAATATTTCTTCTTCTCGTCACTCTCGAAGCCAGAGTCTAGATCATCGCTCTGACACTTTTTCAATGTACAACCCTTGGAGATTTGCCTGAAACTTTCTCGCTCTACCAACAACTTTTTGATACTATCTATTAAATGTTCAAAAAAATTCGGGTAGCCGTCATATCCAGGAAACACATTAACATCTATTATGGCATACTTCCCAGTATGATTTTCAATTACAACATCTATTCCAACTAGAATAAGACCAAATATCTCTCGAATATTCTTAACGATTGTTTCAAATATTTGGTAATTTGGTTTCACAGTTAAAGGAATGTCTTCTTCGGACAATATAGACCATTTAGATCTACTACAGCTTTTCGATATATCGTGCGAGTTGAAGAATATTGTATTCAACGAATTACAGTCTTCTTCATAAAAATTTTTAAAGCTAGGACGCTCGACCACGTGAAAACGATCGCCCACAACAAATAATTTATATAAAATAGCGTTATGATTAATGAAATCCTGAGCGACACAAGGTAGTTGACAGTCTTTCAAGTCCCTTTCATTAAAGATAATCATCATCTGAAATTAAAGAGTAAAAAATAATTTTTATATTAAACTCGTGATTTTCTTGCTTCAGACATTTTCACATCTCATGCCTACCTTGTGCGCATCGCTTGAACCATATGCAAGAAGCGGCTTGCAAACAAATGGATATTTAATACCACGCTTTTTTAATGTTGATGCTATTTCATGGATATTTCTGCTCTTGATTTCTACAAAGTTAGGAGTAAATATATCTGAAAAAAATAAAGCAATGTCAAACATATAATAATTCAGTTCTTTGAAGTTATATTTATAAATACATAATATATTTATAAATACAAATTATAAATACATACCTTTAAACCGAATGCCTTCTTGTATAAATTCGTAAGATTTACATCGATTACTTAAATTCCTAATATTATCCAGAGGATCGATAATGATCAGATCTGGATGTTTGGCAATGTACTCCTGAAGTCGCGAAACAATATCTTCAGCCTATAAAAGATACATTATAGATTCATTGACAATCCAAGCAGAATAAATATTGTTTTAAACGTCTTCATACATTTTTATCACCACTCTCTGCGTGTGACTGCATATCTGTCAGCTTGTGTAAGAAAATATGTAATGGTCCCTGTGTCTCGAAACTTAAATTCACATCGATCTGAAATACAGATTGAAAATTTTAAAATATTACAAATATTGCACTTGCAAAAATAATGCTGATAAAAATGGAATAGGAGAAACCTGACATATATATTAAAAATCTTACATAGATGAGTGATCCGCAGATCATTTTGACCTAACAAACTCACGGGTCCGAATTAAAAATACTGTGGATACTCATATACATCTATACGTCACATATATGTACATTTGTAAATAATAAATCATTGCAATAAAATGCAGCGAATAACAAAAATTTGAAAAAGTTAAGACGTTTGATTTTGCATGTTATTGAAAATCTAATTGACCTTTGACCCTCTTATTTGACTTCATACTTTGTTATGATGGAGCAAAGATCCTTGGGTATCTATTGCGAAAAACAAAATTTGAAAAAATTAAGCTGTTTCTGATAAACTTTGTAAATAGACGGACAAACATTGTGAAATTATGAAGTAATTTGCTATGCTACACTACTTAAAAATGAGAATAAGAAACGTTGAGACTGTGTGTGCCACATAATTTTATTCCATCTGTGCTAAAATTAAATGTTTTTCTAGAAAAAAAATTATTGCACCTTACAATCACAATAAAAAAGATAAAAATTCTTTTTAGCTGAACTTTTTGCATCATTCATTTTTTCTTTTTTTTTCTCTACGTAGAT